TTTTTTTTTTTTTTTTTTTTTTCCCCCCGTAAGATCTCTTAGGTAAAAAAATAGAAAAGATAAGATATGAGGTACTGCCAAGGAGCCAAAGGGTTGCATATGCCTCCCAATAGGAAAAAAATACATAAAAGATTAATTACAAAAAAGAGAGAAAAAAAAACTTCTCAAATCACTTGTTCTTTGAACGGAAGACACAGAAAACTCTAGAGAAAACAATACTTACAAGAACATTATGACATTCTTGGTGAGAGGCTCCATCAGGAGGACAAGACATGCCCTCTCGAAAATCATGCTGTCTAAGAGTACCATCCTCACTAGCACTCCATACTACATTTGGATTCCCTATTTCAACCTTCAATGAAATGCAGACGAATATTTTAGGAACAATAAATAGGTTTGCTTAACCAATATTTACACAATGCAACAGTATCATTCATAGTAAATAAATTATTTCATTACGCGTGGTAAAAGATACTTTCAATACATAGTTCCTTCAGAGTTCTCTTACAGCTAATTTTTTTACTCTTCTGGTGTGACACTGATACAGAGCTGATGACGCTATGGCATTATCGTCATGTCCTCTACCTCTTAAGCGAGATAAATTAAATAATCGCACCTGTTAGGAAAAAAAACCCCGCCCAAAAAAATGTAAATCATAAGCAAAATCCAACTGCCATCAACATCCATGAGAAAATTTACACTGTAGCATATTACACCTCTGCATCCCCAGCTCCCGAGACCACAAGCTCATCAGAAGTTTCAGGAACAAATTTTGTACAAAATATGTTTGCAGAATGCCCAGTCTCTACAGAGTGCAATAGCTTTTGACCAGAATAGTTCCAGATGTTTATCTGCAAAACACATGATTAACAACTCGAAACATAAATTTCTTCGAAGGATGGAAGTTAAAAAAGGATTAACAAGCCACTATGCAACATGAATACACATTCAATTATCATCTAACAGGTAATGTAGAGTATGCTAAATCTTCATTATCAATTTATCGTAACTACTTTAACTTGATTTGATTCCGAAAAAAATAAGCTGAGATATCCAGTGCTTTCTCTTATGGTGTCATCTTCGTTATCAAGTCCTAAAACTCTATTCTTCTGTTCTTGATTCAATGAAAATTGCTCTAGAAAAAATTTGATAAGTCAAGTTCGAAGAATTTAAGAAACTACTCATATCCATAAATTTTATAGGACAACATTTTCCATCTCAATATCCAACTGTAAGAAAACATATCATCACACTCTCAACTCAAACTTTTGGCGTTTGAAGACTTATCCGACAGGCAGCATATTGTCCTAAATTGTTTTGGTCCAAAAATAGTTGTCGCTGGGAAGAACAGTCAGGGCTCCTCATTCCTCACTAACATGCACAATAAATACTCGTACATTTTCATAAAGAGTCAAATAATCTATAATAACAGGTTTACTGGTTAAATCTTCAAGAATAACCACCTGATATCCACTACATATAGTCTAATGATAACATTTTCCCATCATCAAAAACTTGAGTCGTCCACAGCGACTGTAGATCCAGGTAAATAAGTCATAGAAATTGAAGGATAACTGTCTTACCCGAGTATCATCTGATCCAGATATTAGAAGAGAACCACTAGAATTCCAGGCGACAGCATTAACACACCCCTGGTGCCCCTGGAGAGAGAGAGAGAGAGAAGGAAGGTATTTAATTAACAAACAAGGAATTACGAATTGACAGGATAGAGACGGCAAAGAATGATGGAATTGTAAGGGAATGGAAAAACAACAGTTGCACATAATTTTGAGGAAAAAAAAAAAAAAAAAAAAACAAGATCATGCATCCAACAGAAAGAGGAAAGACTCTAACAATCTCTCATTCTTTAAAAGATGAAATTCCTCATCCCATTATAGTAAATAGGTTATATGCATCACCTGGAAAATGTCGTCTTAAAGAGATTATGACAGCCCAACCTCAATACCATTACTTTCAGAACCCAAAATGACTAGTATTAGTTAAAAGTGAGGGCTAAAGTTTACAGGCTTCCAGCTTCCACATAACCATGTTGGAGAATCAACATCAAATACAGTTCTACAATATGCAAGAACAATAGCAATCTGGGCAGATCACAATGACTCATTTCTAATGCTACTTATTAAGACTACCTCCATCAGGTAAATAATGAACCCACTTTCAGAATTCCAATTTCTGTACCACGTTAATACGATAGTCAATAACTTGTCCCATACGGCTTAAAACAACAGATAAGAAGCAAGGTGCAATTGAAATAAGCAATGGGCTGATCATCTCCATCAATATTAATCTTCTGACATATCCAGAAGTATTTTATTTTCATAATGAACAGGCGAGGAAATCAGCAGTATATTAAATGCTTAGGCAAGAAAACTTAGATTTTTGTTAGATAGTCCGAGTATCCTCACCTAACAGTCATACTACTTGCCTAATAGACATTAAACATAAATGACATGGAACAAACCATAAAGCAATAATCTTAATGGCATGGATAATAATACTAATTGCTCAGTACACCATGCACTCGACATAATATACATCATAAAATTTATAATAAGAATACATCACTGATAATTTCAAAAACAAAAAAATGATGTGTTTTAAGAATAATGTGAAAAAATCACAGCACATAGAAACTAAAATCTATACCGACCTCCAGTTCCTTTTCCTGGGAGAGTCTTTGGATGAGTGATGAGTGCATCTGCAAACTATAGTTGGGGTTCTGCATACATAAATGACTTGGAAAAATGAAACAAATTCCTAAGAGGAAAAAAAGTAAAAGCTTCACAAAAGCAGATTTCATCAAGCAGGCCTTATGTTTCAGTATTAAGTCAAACACATAAAAAACTTTTCCCTTTTCCAAAAAGCAAAGAGTACTTTACAAACATTAAAAAATAGCATATAACATACAAAACGAGCCACGAAGAAAGAAAAGCCAAACAGAGACTTTAAAGTAAGAAAAAAGCATGCTGACCTGCTTTTCAATGTACGGTATAGTTTTTATACAGATAGTTCCTTATGTATTTATGGATGGATGACGAACATATTAATCTTCGAAACTATGTTTTCTTATAGAAACGAAAACAAGAGATTGAGAACATAAGAAGAATTTAATCCGGAATTTTTTGCAGAATAGACAAACCGCAATATAGTTCGTGCCTAAGGATCAAAGTTTTTTCAACTCGTATTGATATACGGACACGTTTTTTGTCATCGTTTATTTTTCAAGGAAAACAAAGAATACTGCATCCTTTACAAATTTAACAAAGAATATCTCTATGCAATGAATTAAAATGCGTCGAATTCCATGAGTCGTAATGAAACAAACAACGACTGCAATCTAGGTTCTTACTACTATTACCCTGCTTCAAGTCATAAGTCTGACACATCAAGAAACAGGATCAATGAAGTCAAATAGACGCACTCGAATGAGAGTTTCTTTTAGCAATTTCAGAAAATTCGAAATCGACCAAACCAAAATTGCATTGCTTGTCGTCCACAAACAGCCTTCAAACAATCCAAAATCTCCGATGTTCATCTCATATAGATACACTTCTCACTTCGCCTCCAACAACAAAAACAATCAACTAAATCCAATAAGGCGAGTGATATATCTAAAATTCACAGGATTCTACACAATCAACTCCGCACAAAAGAACGTTCACGCTCCAAAAACCAAAGACGAATACAATTCACATCCAATCCATAAAATCAATTCTACTAACTCGACACTTGAAGTTAAACGAATGCAAACCCGATGAGAAGGTAGAAAAAGATGAAGAAAAATCAATTACACATACTTGACGAAAGTTGATGTGCCTGCTCTCGAGCAAACCGCAGACGTTACCATCGTGGAAGGCGAAATCCTCCATGAGATAAGGGAGAACTCAGAGAAACCCTAGCGTATAACAAACTCCGACCGATTATCTGCAGTTGCAGCAGTGAAGGTTCCGATCATTCTACAATTTTCACGCTCCAAGCTGAGAACCGTCCCTATGGCGTACCCAAATAAATATATAGAGTGCTCTGTGGGCGAAATAGATTAAGGTCGTGTGACAACTAATTTAATTAATTTCCTGGATTATTCTTTTTTTTATTATTATTTCATCGTTTTCTCCAGAAATATATATTTCGTGAAAATTAATAAAAAAAAATATATTCATACTTCAATTTTTACATATTTAAAAATTTCTTATGAAAATAAATTGATACAATTTTAAATTCATAAACTAATAATAATTTAAGATTTTTGTTAATGTAATTTTAAAGTTTATGAATATAAATATTTATTTTATTTTTTACTTTTTACTTTTACCCATGTAATGTTGAAATTATGATAAGAACAAATTTACCGATAGAGATAAATATTAAAAAGACGGAATTAGGTGATCAGTTATTAACACGAATCTTCTCTATTTGAGGGTTATTATTGAGATTTCTCGAAAAATAAACAAAAAAGAATCTAAAATTTTCCGTCAATAAATCAAAATTAAATTAACATTTAATTAATAAAAAATATTTTAATAATTTAATAAAAAATAAATTGAAGTACTATTTATTTATTTCTATGAAATTATAATAGATCAATGTTTGTTATCTATCATCGTCAGCTTCAAAGTTGAAAAACGTGTTCAGTAGAAAGAGGTTTTCACACCCTTGTAAAGAATATTTAGTTTCCTTCTCTAATCGATACGGGATCTTTTAGTTTACTCCCTTGTGGTCAACGTCATTGCTGGCACACCTCTTGACGTCTGGCTCTGATACCATTTGTAGCAGCTCTATGTACGCCGCGAGTAAATATTGTCTAGTTTGACTTGTTACCTATCGCTATCAATCTCATAATTTTTATACGCGTATGCTGAATAGAGATTTTCACGCCCTTTTAACTATATCACTTGTGTAATACCGTAAAATTTTTGTGGATTGTAAAAAAGAAAATGAAAATGATGCGGTTTGTGGGACCCACATGTCACATCGGTTTTTTTTTAGTTTGAAAATAATATTTTCGAGATTCTATTTAAAAATAAATAAAAAAATTAAGATTTCTCAAATCTTTTTATTCTTATATTCCTATCTATAAAAAAAATTACATATTATAAATCGAGAGAAAATGTGTTTAGTCATTGTTTGTGTATATATACATATAGATATGGTTTCCTATATGCTGTTGCTGTCACTTTTAAAGGTCTTAAACAAAACTTTAATAATTGATCAAAATTCAGTTTTGTTTTTATACCATTTTTAACCATTTAAATGATAATCTTTTAAAATATATATTAAAATAGAGGTAATTATCTTAATTAAATGTTTAAAATATCTAAGAAATGTTAAAAAAAAATTGAATAAATGATTAAACAACCAGAATCAAATCAACTCAAAAAATTATAATTAAGTTGGTTGAGTTCATTATTTAATAAAAATTGTTTGAGGTCGAGTTGCAAACCAAGGGAGGATAAATATTGAAACTTCTTTCACATAACGCGATGCTGACTCAACTCTGACAAAAAAGAATTTCCAATCGAAAGAGAATAACAAGGCTGAAATTCTAAATTGTACGAGTCAATAAGCAAATAGAGTTCATTCATTCGGTAGCGAGAGGAAGATGAAAAATGATAGCTAAATAGCTTTCTTAAATGCGGGGTATCAATGATTGAACTAACAAAGAACCCTATACAAACAACCGACAACATAAATATAGATCAAGAAGTTGGATGTTCAAATTAAATTAGAGAGTGGCTTTCGGGCACCGATTCCTTCGTTCATTTTGATTATTCAACTTGATTATTCAACTGAAAAACAGTGATAGAAAATAACACTACTCCCCAAGGTCAAACTCAAAAGCTAAATTAAAAAATGTATCAAGTAACACTACTAGTCTCCTAATATTGTTGCACAATACAATAGAAGCGTTGAACAAATAACATAACTTCCACCATTGAGATTTCACGACACAAGTTCCTATATCAAAAACATAACTTGATCGAACAACCCAAACTTTAGGTATTTCAAACGCATCAAATGTCTAGAACTAGTTGTTTTAAACACTTGAAAAATCATTGCAGACAAACGTTTGATCGAATGAAACAAAAACCCTTCACCGAATCATAAAACTCATATTCTCTACTGTCACCTCCTCTAAGCTAAAAGTAAGCGTGTTTGTACATTATGAGAAAGAAAGATGTCAAAATGCAATAATCCTAACTGCTCTTTCATTCTTCACTAATAAGTGAAAACTGGGCCAAAGAGGATCCTAAATCTACTAAGAAAGACCTTTTTTTTTTTCGCATTTGTGGGAATTTCAGTTTCACCAAATAGAATGCTTCATACCAAGGCCATTACAGGTCAAAATAAGGCCTTTGTATCGCTTGAGATAATCCTGCAGAAAAAGAATTATATTGGAACACAAAAAACTGCACGGAAGCATCATAATAAAGTTCCACAAAGGGGAATGATTGAAAGAAACTTCGTACCACTATGTTATCATCGTTTACATAAAGCATTCCCTTCTCGTCGTATTCCTGCCTCCTACAAGGATCGCTTAAAACTGCGGAATGAAATCACACGAGAATCTTAAATTTCAATAACCAATATCTATTTCATGCCCAGTTAACAATACATCCATACTCCCCTATCACACAAAGAGGCTAAACGGCTAGAAATCTAACACAATACTCAAACTCAACAAAATGAATAGATGGTACTAATTCAAGCCAGGGAAGTTCAACAACACGTGGATACATTCGTGGGATATTCGAACCTCTAACCTTCTGGTAAACTATAGATGTCTCAATAAGAATTTTGACTTGGATGAATGTTTGTAAGCAAGAGAGAATTTTGAAAATTTGTTACAAAGCAACCTAAAAAGGATTATGATGGGATGGATGCTCTTACTCGGATCGTTCTTTGTCAGGATGTAAGATCCATAGTTACATTAATAGGTACAGAACTTTTTATCCTTGTGCATGTCAACATCTTCCAACATAATATATAGCTAAACGAGATGTAAAAAATACGAATGGGGATTGAAAAACTCCGGAGCCAAATTTAGTAATACAATGCACTTCAAAAGTTCTTATGTGGTTCCGTGCTCGTCTTGGGATAGCTAACTACAAGGGCATAGACCGAGATAATCAAAATTTTACATTTGAACTTTTTACATTTAACTACTTAATTTAAGACAAATCAATTGCTATCCCTTCTTCTTCGATTTGCCTCGGTAAACAACCTACCATAAAACTCGCCTAAAAGAAGCAACCCAAAAGTGCTGATGTTCAGCTAGAATGAACATCATACAGGGAAATATTCCCAACATCTAGAAAATGGCAACAAAAAAAAAAAAAAAAAAAAAAAAAAAAAAAAAAAAA